ATCCCAACATTCAATTTACATCAAATATACACAATGAAGCATTGATTTTAATTGAGAATGTATGTTTGACAATAGCCAACAAATCACGGACATAATTGGGAATGATTGCTCCAAATAGATCTGGTAATGACATTTTCGATCGTGATATACAACGAGAAACGCACTTCGATGTTAATGAATTACAAACATTTGTTCGAATTAATCTTCCGATATTGGTATTAGAACAACGAACAGCATATGAAACAATTATAAATGCAATATCTAACAAGAGTTGTGGCTTATATTTCTTAGATGCACCTGCAGGTACTGGCAAAACTTTTCTTATTTCAATTATTCTGGCAACTATAAGATCACAAAATAATATTACACTTGCTATTGCATCATCTGGTATTGCAGCAACTCTTTTGGACGGTGGTCAAACAGCACATTCAGCATTGAAATTGCCATTGAATGTGCAGGTAATTGAAACTCCAACATGTAATATTAGCAAAGATTCTGGGATGGGAAAAGTACTAAGATCATGTCAGTTTATAATATGGGATGAATGCACCATGGCACACAAGAAATCATTAGAAGCACTCAATCGCACGTTAAAAGATTTGAGAGGAAATGAGCAGCTCTTTGGTGGTGCAGTCATTTTGCTAGCTAGTGATTTTAGACAAACTCTACCAGTCATACCCCGTTCAACACCAGCAGATGAATTGAATGCATGTCTCAAATCATCAGTGTTATGGCGGTATGTGGAGAAAATATCTTTAAAGACCAATATGCGTATTCAATTACAACAAGATGAATCTTCTGAACGATTTACAAAACAATTGTTAGATATTGGGAATGGTACAATAGAAGTGGACCAATCCACACACTGTATAGCATTACCAGAAAACTTTTGTCATATTGTAAAATCCACTGATGAATTGATTGCGAAAGTGTTTCCAAATTTATCGCAGAATTAAAAAAATAATCAATGGGTTAGTGAGCGTGCTATATTGGCAGCCAAAAACATTGATGTGAATTTAATAAACTGAAAAATTCAAAATGAAATACGTGATGAAGAAACAACATGTAAATCCATAGATACTGTTGTCAATCAAGATGAATCAGTTAATTATCCAAAAGAATTTTTAAATTTATTGGATCTACCAGGAATGCCACCGCATATTTTATGTTTGAAAATTGGTTCCCCAATCATCCTTCTACGAAATATAAATCCACCGCGACTATGCAATGGGAATAGGCTATCATTAAAAAAATTAATGAATAACATAATTGAGGCAATCATTTTAAATGGAAAACACCATGGACAACATGAACTAATACCACGCATTCCCATGATACCAACGAATACTCCATTTGAATTCAAACGTCTACAGTTTCCAGTGCGACTAGCCATTGCAATGACCATTAACAAAGCACAGGGACAATCATTGCAAGTATGTGGATTAAACTTGATAAATCCATGCTTCTCACATGGACAGCTGTACGTTGCGTGTTCACGAGTTGGAAAACCATCAAATTTATTTGTTCTTGCACCAGATGGGAAAACAAAAAATTTTGTATATATACAAGCACTACTAAGATAAAGTTCACCATCAATCATCAAATATCATTCATTTCATGATGATATCGTTTGCAATATTGTTTAATATCACAAGTGAAGAAACATGTTTATTCTACCATCAACTATGTATATCTACGTTTCATTATATTCAAATTACATATATGTAGGGATAATTTTATTATTAATTTCCATTTTGATGTATTGTATACATTTGATCATTAATCACAGCAACGTGTGAACGGGTACAGCTAGTTTATATATATATAACACTTTAATCGCGTTGAAATATCGAAAAATAAATTTTAAAAAATAAAATAAAGTAAATAGAAAAAAAAATTTTAAAATTAATCTGCGACCAGGACCGAACCCCTGACCATCGAGTCTACAAACTTCCTTNAACTGTAACTATGCAATATATATATATAGCAGATTACGTGTGGAATATGTATTATAGTTGTGGAATTTAGTACCTGCCGTCGAAGTCGGCATCAATTGATTCGTCAGAATTATTAGGCATGAATTATAAAAACTAATTTAGATTTAGTTAGAGGAAAAAATTTGGCAAACACCCAGTTCTGATTAGTCGAATAAAGAGAGCAAGAATGCGAGATTAAATAAATCAATAAAATAAAACGGAATAAATCGATATAAAATAACTAGGTAAATAAAATAAATCAATAAAAATAATCATCGAAATAAATCGAATTAATATATAATGGTAGTATTATATTTCATTTTATAACCGTCGTTGAACAGCCGACCCAATTTTTTGGCTTTACTCCGTAGCCTTGTAGTTTTGAACCCAATTCAGAGGACAAGGGAACTCCTGGATCAAGTATTAGGAGAAATTTACTTTTGATGGTACTAACCTGCATTTGCGTTACATGGAGAGGAAAACCACAAGAAACTCCCACGGTTAGCATGACGGCATGGGGAGTCTAACGCATGATCCGTCTACCACTGAGGATATTTTATGTCAGCTATGTGATTGGTGCAAGCTGGATGCGGAATTAGTATCAACCAATCATCGCTGGGATTTGAACCCGATCCACCTCATTAGAAGGCGAACGCTCTATCCCTTGAGCAACCACGGCTCACGGAAATATTATAGTAGAAGTAGAAGCTGGGTTAAATATAAGACAGACTGAAAAAGGCAATTTAAAAATATGTGCAGTGCATAAAATTAAACGAACCTCTCTAAATAACTTTTGATCTAATGATTAGATCATCACGTTCTAGGGCGCAATCTTAATAGTTCGAAAGCTAAAAGGCTCTTCGAATGCTCTTAATAGTTCGAAGGCCTCAAATATGCTAATTAATTTGTGCAGACCACACATGGGAACGTTACTTTTAAAATGTATCGAGTAAAAATACAATTACTTTAAGCAAAATTAAAGGGTAAATAGTAAAAAATTTTGATTTTTAAAACTAACGAGTGAAAAGTACAAGTAAATGTACAAGTACAACATAAAAAAAAGCATCGAGTAAGTACATTTCAAGGAAATCAAAAATTCAAAATAACCTTAAATTTCATGAAACAAGTGTCAGAAAAAGATACGATTTTAATTTAAACTATTTTACATTTTCCTTAAAACGTATAAAACTTTAAAATACAAGAAAATATTACCAACTTTTTTGGAATAGTAAACGTTGAAAATATCCAGAAATCAAAATTCCATGTCTGCATATAAAATTATTAAATTTAATACTTCCTAGTAATTAGAATTTTTTTTTTCATTATCGGAATTTAGTGTAATAAAATAATTTGTAAAGCAAATTCGATAAATATGTAATTTTTGTTTAAAGAAATAAGTAAAAAAAAATTCATTCACATACACAGGTCTTGTGTCTGATTTTGTAACTTAAAATATGGTCTGTACCAAATAATTAGCATATTTGATTTCATCCCCTCTAACCTTTATGATGGAGTCTTAGAACGTGTCGATCCGATCATTATATCAAACATTATTCAGAATGGTCTATTTTTTAATTTTGCGCACTGAACATCAATATTAACGAATGTTTTACTTGTACTTCTCAAAAGATGAAATATTATACACCAGCTACCAGTACGGCCAGCACAGTAATATTAGCATGCTTGTTTACCATACTTAATACCAACTTTGTAAAGGGTTCAACGCGGCTTAACGGCAGAGCTGCCAACTTGATCCCCTTTAAAAAAATATTTTCCAGTGGTAGCGAAATTAAGTTATTTTTAGTTTAGTGATTTTCATTTTAAGTAATTTTTCCACCACTACATATTGAAAATTCGAAGTATCATATTGAATGCATTGTTATTGAAGTTATCTTGTACCACAAAGATCCCAGGTTCGACCCCAACTGATATCACTTTTTCTACATGTCATCAGAATCATCCATCCTTTCAGCATATCGTCAACTCATTAGAAACAGCATAGTGCACAGCATCATCGATCGCAGAAAAAATCATCAACTTTCCAATGCATCCGGAGCTACATCAATCTCATGTGTCATCTTGCAGTCTATTCTGAGCAGCTGAAAATAAAAATCAAAAACTCAAACTGTGAACATTTAACAGTACTTTAAAAAATCCATTATTATTAAAATCTAGAAACCTACTGTATAAATCATTAAATAACATATTCCAATAAAACTGACAAATATGTAATCTACAAACAATGCCTGTAATATCTGTTCTTTTTATATTTTCTTTTTTCTTATTTCCTGTCTTTTTAATCTTGCCACCACAATGTTGCATAATATAAAATGTTTTCAAACAATGTAAATTATTTCATGATGAATGGGTTAGGGGCCCAGGCACCCAGCTTGATTTAAATAAAGAAAGAAAGAAGTTATCTTGTGGTTACTCTACCACGTGCCTTGTAAATTGCAAAAAGTGGTAACGGAAATTAAAGAAATGTCTATAATATAATTTTTGTGTAACCACCGAAGAAAGTATGTATGCATGAAAAATCCAACTTGTAAACCACTTAACGACGAAGTAGTATGTTAAAATAAGAAATATCGTCCAGCTTTAACCTTAATTTACTACCACTACTATATTTTTCAAAGACTGTGGGAACCTTGTCCTATAAGGAGTGAGCGTAAACATCCTTATTTTACAAGTTTTATATTAAACCTTCTGCCGAAAGCGGAGCAGTTTGCATTCCGGTAACTGCAACAAAGTGGCACACCACATAAGGCTTTGAATTATTTGGAAGTAGTGTTGAGTAAAAAACCCTATAAATCGAATTTATTAAATTACGAGTCATACATTAAAAGAATACCACTCGATAATATTTATCCGCTGTACGTAGCGATTTGGCATCTTTGTATTTCCTGTTATGGAAAATAACGATTCTTATTCTTGAGAATTGCCGATATATGTTCCTTGTGATAATGATTGAAAATGAACATGACTTTATAACCGGTTTGATATCCGGTATACAAACAGCCCTGGTTATATGTTTTTTAACCTTTTCGGGACGGGCGACTCATAAATGTATTCGAACGGAATCAAGATAGTAAAAAATAAAATGCGTAGCTAAAGTTTGGGCATAACTCAATGTGACAGACTTATTTTTGCTTTCACTTTAATTCTAACGCGTCCAATCGATACGTGTGAAAACTGTAACTATGCAATTTTTAATTCGAACTAAGTAGTGGTGAATTAAATAAAACAAGCTATCATTACCCCGTCCTCTAAAAAATAGCTACTAGCTATATATTTTTTTGCCCTGATTATCGACACCCTGAGAATGCATAACGACACCCTGCAAGCTTTTAATACTCTCGAGGATGATTTTCCCCAGTGGTAGCATACCCTCCAACTTCTGAGGATTTTGAAAATAATCTCTTTCTAGTGGTAGCGAACCAAAGTCGAAATTTTTAAAGCAAATGGATCTCTCATAAAACTTTTATCAGAACTTAAGAATCTAGCCATATGGCCTGCACTTTTATAAGTAATAGTGGACAAGTTACGTTAAAATTAAATTTTTTTGAATATTAAGACATTAATTTTGCTACCGTCTGAAAAGAAGATTTCTGAAACTACGGAAATTCCGTAGCAGTTGGAGGGTATGGATTGGTAAATTCGAATTTACACTTCTAGGCTGTAACATATGCTGTTTTTGGATAAAACATATGTGAACGGTATTTCATATTAATATATATGCTTAAATTTTTTTAAAAATAGTGGTGGTCAGTCAAAAAGATTTTAAATTAAGTCTCTAAATGGAAGGAATATATAGAAAGCATACATTTTACTACCACTTTAAATATAGAAATAAAATTTTACGCCAATTGCGTAAAAGTTGGCAGGTATGCATGTATGACTCGCCCGTCTCGTAGAGGTTATGATTACGAGCATTGTTAATTACCCTCGATGTATCTCCTGCGTTTTTCCTGTGCTGCCAA